GCTGTGAGCCCCAGCGCCTTGCCTGCAGGTGCAGAGACCCTTCCGCTTCCCAAAGAACGGAAGGCTCTCCTGCTGGCCACCCCGAGGGTGACTCTCGCTAGAGTGGAGAGTGGCCACAGCTCTTCCTCCCCCGTCCTCGGGGAGGTGGACCGGACATGGTCCAAAAAAATGAAACAATGTGTTGTCCAGAATGGGTTCTCCATGTGCTTTTTTTTTTTTCTTTTATCCTCACCCGAGGACATTTTTCCATTTTTGTTCAGATAAAGGGGAAGGGAGAGAGAAGAACAGAGAGAGAGAGAGAGAGAGAGAGAGAGAGAGAGAGAGAGAGAAAGAGAGAAACATCAATGAGAAAGGGACACATCGAGCGGCTGCCTCCCGCAGGGCCGGGGATGAATCGCAACCGAGGTACGTGCCCTTGACCAGAATCGAACCTGCAACTCATTGGTCCGCAGGCTGATGCTCTAACCTCTGAGCCAAACCAGCCAGGGCTCCATGTGCCTTTTGAACGTAGCGTTCTGATATTCTGAGAATTCACAGCATTTGGTGCGATGAACACTTCTGTCGGTGCCAGGCTCGCCCCGAGCTTGCTGGCCCAAAGTGGGAGGCGCTTCGGAAGCTTAATCTAGCAGAGGGGCACGGAGCGTGGCGGCAAAGAGATCGGGGTTCAGCTCAGACCCCCCACCATTTGGCTGACTGCAATCTCGGGCAGCTGTCTAACCTTTCCATAGGGGTCTCATCATCCGTCGAGGGGGTGGGGCCAGGGAGAGGCGAGCGGAGCAGCGGCGAGTCCTGCACATGGGCCCACCCAGAAGAGGGCCAGTGATCACGTGGGCTGTCCTCAGCTCTTCCTGCCCCCACCGCACCCATCATACCTGCCCGCCCTGGGTTCCCTCGCTTGCCGGAAAGCAGAGTATCAGAATCAGGTAATTGATAGAACTTGCTGCTCGCTCCCAGCCCGTGGTTGGTGGGGGCTCCGGCGAAGCGTAGTGGCAGTGGGCAGAGCAGTCTTGTCATCCGTGATGCGGTGACCAGCACACTGACAGTGTGAGGAAGATGGGCTGAGGCTGTGCAGGAAGTCACGAGGGGAAACCTGGGCTTCACGATACCATCTGTGGCGGTGGGAATGGCATGAGGTTGGGTCTCAGTGAGTGGGCACATGATGGTGGCTTAGGTGGCCTTCGGGGACATCCCCCGTCATGGCACCAAGCTGAGCCCTGACCACGGCACTCAGCTTCTCTTTTGCTGTGGTTGAGGGTGCCGGGCTTCTCTCTCCACACCCAGAAGCCCACAGCACAGCCTCTGAAACTCAGCAGAGTCCCCTCTGCCTCCCTCTGACCCCACAGGGCACCAGAGGACCAAGTGCTCTAGGTCCCAGCTCCCATGGCAAAGACTGTTGTAGGCCAGCCAGGGCTGCGACTGACTGCATCTCAGCCTGGAGAGGAGGAGAGATGGGGCTTTGAGAATTCTCCAGATTTCAGAGCTGATGCGGGGGATCCTTCCTGCCTCCAGGGCTACGGGATCAGAGAACCCCAGGCCCCTTCTTTCCACGCCCAACTAATTCTGACGAACTTCCCCTGGCGTTTCTTGGCAGAGTCTGGCAGGAGAGGGGGACGTGGCACGAGGAACACTCCCGGATCTGTGGGATCAGTGCCCGCTGAATGGACAGAGCACTGGACCAGGGGCCGTGGGCCCAGGGTTCGGAGCAAGTCAGTGGGCCTCTCTGAACCTCGGTTTCCTCGTCTGTAAAATGGAGACTATAATACTACTTACCTTATAGCGGTGTTTTGAGGGTTATAGACATCAGGTAATGAAATGCTTAATGCAATAATTGTCACTTAGTACATGCTTAATACATGTGAGGGAAGGTTATTATCCCCATTTTACAGAAGGAGAAGTTGAGGCACAGAGAGGTTAAGTGACTTGCGTAAGGCCACACAGTTAGTATGTGACCAGCTGGAATTTGAACTCAGACCATCGTGAACTCCAGAGTCCATGCTTCTAACCTGCACCATGGGCCCCTCAGTGATACACATCCTGGTATTTCTTTCTTTCCTCCTGGGGCTGGCTTTGGATTGGACTCCTGGTTTCCTGGGGAGGCAGCTCAGCAGGGAGCAGTGGCAAAGCCTGGGCCTCTCTGTGGTCCCCTCAGGAAACACTGGCGGTCACCTCCCTACCCTGAGCTTTACTTTTTTCTCCCGGTGGTGGCATTACTGTCCAGGCTGCTGGGAAGCTGGAAAGATCCTTAATGCTTTGCTGACCACACTGTTCTCACGCACATGCACATGTGCACACCTTTACTCATGCACACAGCCATGGGCACACACCCTCACATACTTGCACGCACACAATGTCTCATACACCCTGTGTACACACACCCTCACATCGAGGTGCACACATGTGATCGCGAGAGCGCGTACCGGCTCATGCACACACCCACACCCTCGCACGGTGGGCACACAGCCTCACGCTCACCCTTCCTCACACACATCCTCGCATGTGTGCACACACACGTACACACACACACGTGCTGCAGGAGGCCCTATCGTTGTCATTGTGGCCCCAGCTCTTAGTCATTTAACAACCCACGGTGCTGTGCTGCTTTCATGGAAGCCAACGTTTGGCTTTTCTTTACTGAGATCTTCTCACTCAATTTCTCTGTCTCGCTTTTCATTCTGACTGGGAAGGATTTTTTCTCTCTCTCTCTTGTGGTTTTGACAGCGCCAGCAGCTGTAACTCAAACCCTTACCTCCCGGGCCACCTCCTGCGTCTGCCGTGTGTCCACTCTGCAGGGACGGGTCCAGGGCTGCCCCGCTTCTCCGCCCCCCGCCCTTTGCAAAGTGGGAGCTAGAGAGGAAGGGTGTGTGAGGACGAGAAGTGACGTCACAGCTGGGGCTGTGGACAGACCCAGGGACCATGCGTGTGTCACTCAGCCTCCTCAGCTGGGAGTTTCTGTGAGCGATTCGAGAAGTGCTTGGGAAAAGAGAGTGCTGATGTTCCCCAATCTCCTTTTGGGGAACATGGGGTCACCGGCTCACCCAGCTTTTGGGGGACGCTGACACCTGCCTGCCCCAGATGTGCTCCCCTCCCCCATGCTCGCACTTGGGTCCCGGCCTGGAGCCTAACCCTTGCCTTCGCTCTGGACGGGGGCGCTCCCGCCTTGTCAAGTCCGGGAAGTCTGAGAACCCCACCCCCCACCCCAGAGAAAGCGCCCTCTTCCTGCTTCGACCTTTCAGACCTCAGGTCCCAGGACTTCCCTCTTCCTTTCAAAGCCTTTGGAGGTGGGGGAGGGACACAGGGAAGTGTGTTAGCCCCTGGAACAGCAGGAAATATGCTTTTCCCCTCATCTCTCAACTCGATTTCACATCTATAAATGGGCTATTGTAATGCCTACTCCTGGGGTGGGGGAAAGTACGGGAGCCCATGCAGATGAGACTGTTGTGTCCCCCACAGTCCTCATGTTGAAGCCCCAACCCCCAGTGTGACTGTATCTGGAGGCAGGCCTTTCAAAAGGCAATTAAGGTCAGCCCTGGTCGGGTTGGCGCAGCAGTGAGCGCATCGGCCGCGGGCAGAAGGGTGTTGGGGTTGATTCCTGGTCAAGGGCATGCGCCTGGGTTGCAGATTCAATCCTCCATTCGGGTTGGGTGGGAAGCAACCAATCGATGTTTCTCTCTCTCTCTCTCCCCCTCTCTCCCTTCCACCCTCTAAAAATCAATGGAAAGATATCCTCGCCCTGGCCAGTTTGGCTCGGCGGTTAGAGCATCGGCCTGTGGTCCGGAGAGACCCGGGTTCGGTTCCCGCTAAGGGCACGTACCTCGGTTGCAGTTTGTCCCCGGCCCTGGTTGGTCGTGCAGGTGGCAGCCACTCGATGTGTCCCTTTCACATTGATGTTTCTCTCTCTCTCTGTTCCTCTCTCTCCCTCCCACTCTATCTGTACAAAAAATGGAAAAATGTCCTCGGGTGAGGATAAAAAAAAAAAAAAAGAAAGAAAGATATCCTCTGGTGTGAGGATTAACAACCAAAAAAGGTAATTAAGGTTAAATGAGTCCATAAGGGTGGGGACTTAATCCAATAGGACCTTGTCCGTAAAGGAAGAGGAAAGGGGTGCTCACCCACGGAGGAGAGGCCGGCGGAGGACCTGGAGGAGGCAGCCACCCGTGAGTGAAGGGAGAAGCTGAAGCTGCCGGCACCTGGATCTCGGACTTCCAGCCTCCAGAACCGTGAGAAATAACCGTGAATCCCCCAGCCTGTGGTGTTTCGTTACAGCAGCAATAGCAAACTAATCCAGGGGCTTGGACTTCGAGCCCTGCCACGCACAGAGGAACTGGGAATGAATGGTAGTCCGTGTTATTGTTGGGGGAGGATTCTCCCTGGTCTGTCTACACATCTCATACCAGCTTTTGTGCTGGACAGGGAACAGATTTGTTTACCTTCCAGGATGATAGGGTCCCCTCCCCCCACGGAGATTTGCACCCAGTCCCGGGTAATAAAGTGAATGTCTTCTCAAGGCAAAGGCGGAGCAGGTTGTCTTGTGAGACTGGGGGGTCTCCCAGGCGGTGACACAGCTCACCCGAATCTGTGGAAGTGTGGCCGGCCAAACCTGTTGTTGGCCGCTGTTATTGCTAACTCAGGATGCTACCTTGTTCAATGAACAAATATTGTGTCAAAGAGCGCCGAAGAAATAGACAAGAACCCCTCCTCTGTTCCTGTGGCTGGGCCCTGACTGGGGGCCACAGAGAGGAGATCCCTGAACCCTGTCTTTGTGGTATTGGCCAACGAGTATCGGAGAGAGTCCTGTGTGCCCAGCATGGAACTAAGACCCGTCATCCTTAATCTCTGCACAGCTGCGAGGTGGGGGAACGGAGGCCCCGGAGGTTGACCAGTTGTTCCAGGCACTTCCTGTGGCAGAGGTGTGCTTTGAACCCCGTGTGGCCCAACTTTTCCAAAAGCTTTTGTTTTGAAAGCACCTGGCTGCCTCCAATTACATTTTATTAGCACAAGGCTTTTTTTTTTTTTTCTTTTGAGTTTGAAGCACTGATGCATGAACAAGGCGTTCTGCATGCTGTTCATTTCCTTAGGGGCCCGGGGCAGGTGATGAGGACCAGCTCCGTGGAGGAGAAGCTGCTCACCCTCTGGGGTTTTGCAGGGGCGAGACTCCATCCAGCATGGGCCCTGGGGACAAGGGTCAGCCTGAGCTGGTCATTCTGAAATCAGGGGCCCCTCCCGAGAAGGATGCAGGTCACGGAGAGCTACAGGGCAGGCTCAAAATTGGGGCTTGAGATGACTCATCTGCAGCTATTTATGACTCGGCTCCATTTCTCGGTCTCCAAGCCTCCTTCCTTCTGGGTGCTGAGTAAGCAGCCTGAACCATCCTGCCCACCTCTGGCCTCTCTTTCCTCACCCTTAACAACACTCAGGCCCCTTGGGGCTGCAGGAACTTCCCCCCAAATGCCCTCATCCAGGTCTTCCCAGCAGCTGCTTGGCCTTTCTCCCCAGCCCACTCTGCCCTCCGGTCTCAGCTTATACATCACCTCCTCAGGGAAGCCCTCTCTGACCACCACCCCCACCCACTCACAGTCTGGTTACGAGGCTCTGCCATGTGTTTCTGCGGCGTCTGCCCTCCCTCCTACCAGTCACCAGTGGGTAATTAATCAATTGCCCTGTTCTTCCATCTCAGCTGAAGGCAACGCCATACTTCTCCTTTCCCAGGACAAACCCTTTGAGTTGTTCTCGACGCTTCTGTCAGCGAATCCTGTCCAGTCTACCTTTCAAGTTCCCCCAGATCTGCCTCTTCTCACCTCCCTGCGCTGCTCCCTGCTGTCTGAGTGCCCACGACCTCCCCGCTGAACGCTGAACGCTGTAGTCGGAAGTCAGGTCATGCTTCTCTGCTCACAACTCGAGTGGCCCCATCTCGCTCCGAGTCAAAGTCAAAGTTCTTACAGCAGGACCCTCCGCCACTCCCCTGAGCTCACCGCCAGCTGCCCCAGCTGGCTCAGAACCACCTCAGGGCTCCGCAGGGGCTGCTCTGGGCTGCCCCCTCCGTCTGCCTGGTTCCCTGCCCCCCCTCTTTCTTCAGGTCTTTGCTCAAAAGTCACTTTCTCTATGAGGTCTTTCCTGACCATTTTATTGAACTCAGCACCCCACCTCCCTTCTCTTCCCTGATTCCTACAGCACCCTTTCCCGTCTAACATACGTGTAATTTACCCACTGATTTTATGTGCTGTCTGTCTTCCCATCCCTGGAATGGGAACTCTTCGAAGGCAGGGAGTTTTGAGTCTTATGTTCACTGATGTATCTTCAGCACCTCTCCTGGGGCCTGGTACCCACATGCCTGAAATGAATTTGTTGAAGGAATGAGTGAATGAATAACCATCTGCCACTCACCCCTCAAACCAGTGAAATTCCTTCTATGCAAACATTCTTGTTCCGCAGGCATGTTAGACCCTGTAGCACTGGTGGGTCCTGTGGGAGGCAGGTCTGGCAGAGTTCCAGGCCTTGGTGGGCACCCAGCTCTCCTTGGCACGCCACACAGGCCATCCCAGCCTCTGGAAAACAGCAAGGAGGGGCCTCAGGGGCGGGAGCCCAGTGGCGGCCACCTGTCCCTGTAGGTGCTAGCAGTTTCTCTATGTAGCTGTTTAATGGCTCCTGCTGACCTGGGAGGCCATGGCTCAGAAAGGCCCCTGGTCCCTTGTGCAGGGTCCCTCCAAGCCAGGGCAGTGGCTGCTCTAACTGATACCAAGCATGAGGGTGGGACACCAGCAAGTGGCCAGACTTCAGGCCTCAAGGAAACTCAGCTGGTTTGGGACATTGCAGCCAACCGGTGTGCGTCTGGAATGCAAGCCCCAGCCCACCACACACAGACGCCCAGGCTGTGGGCGCAGGGCGGGCGGCACACCCGCTCTTGCCCTTGCCAGGACGCGTATTCCCTCAGTATCTCTCTGGCCAGACACCAGGACTGTGTCCGGGGCGGGGATAAGCTGGGTGTTCGCATGGCAGGTGCTGAGGCGGGAGGTGCGTGTGCGCAGCCCTGGCCGTGCGCTGGCTGCTCCCCACCCCTGACGTTCCCTCTGCAGTCACAGCAGCTAAGAGACCCTCTGACTCCCCGCCTGCCTCCTTGTCAGGGTCTGAAATTCGGGTCCAGCCTTTGCTCCCTGGAGAAGGCAGATAGATGAGCCCAAGCCAGCAAATAAGCAGATAAAGCCGGTGGCGGCAAAGGGGCCGGGTGGGGTCAGAAGCACGGGGCTGGGGCTGGGGCTGTCCCTGTACTAACCTGCTGCCTCAGGGTCTGTGTGAAGCGGTGGGGGAGGCGTCTCACAGTCTCTGCGTCCCTCTCGGCTCTCACACTCTGGGCCACTTTCTGACCTAAACCAGAGGCCAGTTAATAATGAGTAGCCAGGGGTGGTGGGTGATAGCTTTTGGGTTTTTCTCAACCCAGACATGGTCCCAGCCTCCGGGTGGAACCCATGAGTCTCCAGACCTCGCTGAGGCCATGCCTCAGTTTCCCCAGATCTTGAGGGTTTCAGGCCTAGAGAGTCCCAGGCCTGACCAGGCCTTAAGACCTCTTGTCTATTTGGAGGGAGAGAAGGTCCTGGGGGTGGGGGTGACCCTCCTCTGGCAGCATGGAGTGGCTGAGGGGAAACCCCAGAGGGCTCTTCTGAGTGAACACACCCCAGTGGGAAGCTCCTGTGGGAACAGGGTCCCCCTCACCGGGGCGCGCCCACCTCCCGCCTGCGACGACAGCGTGGATGATGGTGAGGACGTGAGGCCCGAGGCTCTGTTCCGGGTTTTATTCTGAGCAGCGTCTCCACTTGCACCCCTGGAGGGAGCCTGGGAGGCAGGGCTGGTGGCCACCATGCCTCCCAGGGTCCAGGCCTGGGTCACTCAGTCCTCCCCCAAATATGCCTTCAGTCAAGTCCATTCACATCAGTGGACAGACAGACAGTCCCTGCCCCGTGAGCTCCCATCCCAGGAAAGGTCCGGTTTCGGATGGTGGTGTCATGTGTCCCTGGAAGGGAATACACAGGACGAGGTGACAGAGTGGCTGTCAGCCTGGGTGGTCAGGCCAGGCCTCTTTGGGGAGGTTTCATCTGAGCCAACACCCGAAGGATGAGAAGAGGCAGCAAGTTTGAATTTCATATTTTTACAGCTTTATTGAGGGCTAATTGACACATGATGAACTTTACCGATTTAAAGTGTACAATTTGAGTCCTGGCCGGTTTGGCTCAGTGGTTAGAGTGTCAGTCTGCGGACCAGAGAGTCCCGGGTTTGGTTCCCACTAAGGGCACGTACCTCAGTTGCAGTTTGTCCTCGGCCCCAGATGGGGTCATGTGGGTGGCAGCCACTCGATATGTCTCTCTCACGTCAATGTTTCTCTCTCTCTCTTCCTCCCTCTCTCCCTCCTGCTCTATCTGAAGATAAATGCAAAAATGTCCTCAGGTGAGGATAAAAAATAAATAAATAAATAAAAATATAAAGTGTACAACTTGATACGCTTTGGCCTCTGTACCTACCGATTACCACCAAGATAATGAACATATCTTTTGGCCCAAAAGTTTCCTTGGAGGGAGCGCATAGTCAAGAGCTGGGGGAATAAGATTTCAGACAGAGACAGGTAAGTGCAAAGGCCCTGGGGCAGGGACAAACTTGATGGCTCCAGAGAGGCTAGACAGGAGGCCAGTGGAGACTATGACAGGGGACAAGGGGCGGGAAGGAGCCCCACCTGGGGGCCTTTTTGGCTGTGGTGAGAAGCTTGGGGCTGAATCAAGCACTTCCCTGACGCCCTGGTGACTGGTGAGTGAGTGGCCGGTTACACTTGGTCGTCAGACCCTGGAGTTCTCTTTTCCACTCAGGCTCTTCTGAGAAACCAGCCTGTGGGGCAGTGACACCCGCTAATGAATTAGTACCTGGTTTCTCCCAAGCGTGATTTACATTTTAGCTGGGGCCTTCAATACCACCACCCGAAGAAGTGAGAATTTGAGGCTGAGGGGCAGGCAGTGGAGGGAGCCTGCCTCCCTCCTTCCTGGGGCTCTAAGTTCTCAGCCTTTAGGAAGGGAAGCTGGCTTCTTTGATGCTCTGAGTTGTGAGCCACCGTGTGAGGACAGGGTGCCTGTGGTCCCCCACATCCTCCAGGACTGGTCCTTGGGAGCCTCTCCCAACCTGACTGCCAAAGACATGGCCCACGTGGGGAGGAAACGGGGGAACACAAATCAGTTCTTATAGAGCAAATCCTCTACAACAGACAACCATGGCAGCCCAGAGCAGGTTCAGGGAGACCAAGGGGTGTCGACTGCCCCTTGGCCTTTAGGAAGGCAGGATATGGGGTACAAGTTCCAGCCAGGGCAACCACAGCCCTAGAGGGGACAGAGGCTCATTATAGAGTCACAGACGTGGATTTGAATTGTGCCTCTGGAACTTACTATGTGGGTGGCTTACGTCTCTGAATGTCTGTTTTCCCGTGGATTTTTAAAAACATTGTCACTTTGCAGGGCTATTGTTCCAGGTACTTTGTAAGCACCTTTGGCTTATTCATTCTGCATTTTTTTGCTGGATGCCTACCTGGTGACAGGCACTGAACACGACTGGGCAAAATCCCCGTTACAGGGTCTCTCTTCCTCCTGAGAAGCCAGCAGATCCTCCCTTGATTATTGCATCAGTCGGTGGGGACAGTGCTCAGGGGGTGGGGGTTGGGTGGCTCATTTGGATAAGAAGTACCTGGTGAGAATTGGTTCTCTCTTTCTGCGGGGATACCCCAGGCCCTCCTGTCTGGCTGCCTAGGATGGGGGACATCTCTGCACAGGCAATGCCCAGGGGACATGCTGGGCAGGGGACATGGTGTGCTTGATCGTGTTATTACCATCGGTTGCTTCTGTTTCTTTCTTGTACCCAGTGCCTCTGGTTCTGTGATTAATATTGGCCTAAGCTTGGCTTCCTGAGTGTCTAAATGACTCACCCCATTCGCAACGGCCCTGTGAGCAGGCAGGCCTGGGGGAGACATGGACTCTGATGGGAGTTGTGGTCCATGAGGCCATCCCCCTCGTGCTGCTGGCTTTGGCCAAGTCTCTTGCCCTCTCTGGCCTTAGCTTCCTCCGCTGTGTGCCCGTGGAAGGTGGGAGGAAATCCTGAAAACTGGGAAGAACAGCGGGAATTCCTCCCAGTTACCAGTCCCAGGAGCTCCCGGAGGTTAACAGGCTCCTGGGGCTGGGGCTGGGAGAGCAGCCCTCCCCCACCCCCCACCCACGATACTATTCACATTAACCCATTTAATCCTCACCACAGCACTTTGCAGTGGGTATCATCATGTCCATTTTATAGATGAAGACATCGAGCCCTGGCTGGTGTGGCTGAGTTGGTTGGAGCATCATCCTGTGCACCAAAAGGTGGCAAGTTCAATTCCTGGGCAGGGTACATACCCAAGGTTGCAGGTTTGATCTCCAGTCATGGTGTGTGCCGGAGGCGGCTGACTGATGTATTTCTCTCACATTGATGTTTCTTTCTCTCTCTCTCCCTTCCTCTCTCTAAAATAAATGAAGCTTAAATTCGTAAAAAGAAAGAAAGAAATTGAGACTCAGAGAGGGTGAGTAACTTGCCTAAACCCACACAGCCAGTAAATGACAGAGACAGGATTTGACCCTCTCTGGCTTTAGGGGACTTTTTTTTTTTTTAATCCTCACCTGAGAATATTTTTTCATTTATCTTCAGATAGAGTGGGAGGGAGGAAGGAGGGAGGGAGAGAGAGAGTCAGGGGGGGTGAGGAGAGAGAGAGAAACAATGATGTGAGAGGGACACATTGATGGGTTACCTCCCACATGACCCTAACCAGGGCTGGGGACTGAACTGCAACTGAGGTATGTGCCCTTGACCGGAATCAAACCCACAACTCTTTGGTCCGTGGGCCGACGCTCCAACCACAGAGCCACACTGGCCCAGGCTAGATGAGGGGACTTTTAAGCAGACCATCAATTCCCAGCCCCTGATTTTACAAATACAGGCGCTGAGGCCTGGAGGAGGGAAGTCACATGTCTATTTGCAGATCTGGGCTCAAACCCGGGCTCCTGACTCTCCATCCAGTCTTCCCACACCTAGAGCTGCCACCTACCAAGCTGGAGCCACCTGAGCCCAGCCAGGGTGCCAGAGACTGAGGGGGCATCCCCACAGTGGCTGTGTGGCCAGCGAGCTGGCCTGAGCTGAGGTTTCACCTGATGAGCTGGGAAAGACCTCTGACCCCCAGGGTTCTTACCCGTGGCCCTGACCAGTGCCGGAAGCCCCCGCATGACCCACTTTTGGCTGGAATGGTGAATGCCACGGTAGCTTTGTCTCCTGAGAAGGGGTCCAGCTATGAGCTTTCCAGGTGTGGTCTTGAGTGGAGAGGTCTGGGGCCAGAGCAGGGGCCTGGGTACCCAGGGGGAGTGGAGCAAAGGGCACCTAAGCCTTTTACATCTCTCCCCTATATCCCAGCTTTCTCTGTCCACTGTTTTATTCGGGGCTCATTGCAACCCTGGAAGGCTGCCTGGTAGTGTTGAAATCCACATCTGGCAGAGAGGGAAATATGTCCCAAGGATCCCCACCTGTCTCCTAGTAGTCACACATCTGTGCAGTCCCCACCCACACTGGGGAGAGCCAGCCTGAGTAACCAATATCGTGGACATGACAAAGTGTGACTTCAGAGGCTAGAGCACAAAAGACAGTGTGGCTGCCATCTTGCTCTCTCGGAACCACTTGCTCCGGAGAAGTCTGCGGTGTGGTGTGGACACGCAGCAGCTTCCTGCCCACGGCTGGCGAGGGGCTCGTTT